GGGAAAATTTGCGACGTTACTGGGACGAAAATGCGTTCGAACGAGGTTCATCCTTGTTAGTTTCGTGCTGTTGATAGATCTCATTCTTAATTTGAATATATGTATGTGTGTTTGTGTGCATGATTATATTATAATGTATGTTATATTCTAGGATGGTACATATTCATATTTATTCATCGAATCATTTGTTATTCATTCACAATTGCTTTCTTCTTCGTGCATCTCTTCCTATTTTTTCTTGCTGTCCTACATTGATTTATTCGTTCATTTAATTTCAATTTAAGTGAAGAAAACTGGTTTCGTTTAGTTGCGTTCCATTTGTTATGTAATTCAACATTTTTCTCTTATGTTAGGATTATTATTATTGTTGTTGGTATTGATATTGGATGTGCTTTTTGTGGAATGATAAGAGTTTGTTGCTATGATTTCGGTACTTTATTGTTTGGGGAAGATTTGATGTTATCTTTATGATTGTGATGACGACGGTGATGCTATCATTATCATTAATCGTCTTTCGCAGTCTTGTAATCGTAACGTGGTGTGTCGAATACCGATCACCGCAGTCATTTCGTTCTGTTTGCACTTTTGAAGTTACTCGTAACCATCGATGGTGCAACCGTTCGTAAATCCGATGACGCTCTGCGAAGAGCTCTAAAGATAATCATGTTTCTCGGTTGAATTCTGAATTTACGCATCGAGTGATGTCCCATTTAAACTCTTAATGATCATCACCTTCCGCGTCTTAATAATTTTTGCATTGAAGCAGCATATCTTCATGGGAAATAGTCACCTTTATGGGTCCATGCGTAGCATCAGCCCTTCCTCATTTCTGAATGGGTCAGGAATGAGGAAGGGCTGATGCTGCATGCACACACAAACACAAATGAGCTTGACCGTGCCGTTCTCTTAAGCGTACTCATCAAAATTCTTCTTCCGTTCTNNNNCTTGTTGTTGGTGGTGCAAATGGAATCGAGAAATCAGTCTCTCAGATTTTTCGTGCGATATCCTGAACACTAACATTATTGTTGTTGCTGTTGCCGTTGTTTTGCATTGTTCATCAGATGATTTGAACGATTTCGCTGCTGATGTTTGCTTAGTTTTCAAGTCGTCGGATCTTTATGTTATTGTTTAGGTGGTGGTCATAATCATTGGTCGTATTGCGTTTGCTTGCTGACTCCATTCTGTTTGCAGAGAACCATTCCTGTATGTTCCTCACTGGAAGCAATTTCGTTTCGCGTTCTATTTCCCCGAATGGTCGATATTTATTGTGAAAATATTGTAAATCATGGGAGAATGAGCATAATTGAGCAGTGTTATTGTTACCATTCAATAATAATTTGCCCTCTTTATTGTTAATTTAAATTCATTCTGTTTTTCATTTACATATGATGTTCATTCCCAATTGCAAACTGTCGTAGTAAGAGCCGCCGCATCAATCAGTGCTTATTTAGTGTACTGATCAACCATTGATGAATACAAGTGAATCTTTCTCAAGTGAATGCAAAAACAGTTATTGTTTACAAACAAACAAGTATGAGGCGTTTGATTCTTGCGAGATGAATGCGATGACTACGAACGGGTTTTATACTTTCAAATTGAGTATTGACGTATGTATTAATCTTCGAACATTGTGTCTCGAGAACATTTTTTTATTTGCTTCCTCGCTTGAAATGAGAAAGAAATTTTGTTATTGCTTCTGCTGCTATCAAATTCGCTAATAAGTCGCCAGCTATTCGCCTATTATCAAAATATCAACGCAACAATCTAGTCGTGTATCTGATGTGCAAAAGTTGTTTGCAAATATAGGCAAAGTTTTTTAGGTATTGACTTTGCTGCAAGATTGGCTGACATTGTCTGGTGTGGTTGGGTTTAGAAGGTACCGGGTGAGAATCAGATAATCAGCTTGTTTTTTAGATATATTTATGAGGTATTGCGAGAGAAAGGAAAAGACTGATTGGATGTATATATTTTTCATGGACGTGATGCCTTATTTGGGCAGTTGTATAAATCTCATGAAATTTGAAAATTATAAATGTATTGGGTCGCAGAAGTCGGTTTCATTATGAAATGTTAAGTTGTTCAGTTAAGGATGGGTGAAGGAGAGGCAAGGTACGATGTGATGTACACATTGAATGTCTGCGCCTGAGGGTGCTGATGGTTCGTGCGTGTGTATCTTTGACGATTGAGTGTCTTACCTTGTTCGAATGAACTAATCAAATGGAGTGCAAATGAAATACGTACGAATGTGAGCGTGTAATTGGTGATGTTTTAATTTGAAGCTGACTGACTTTTTGATGTATAAGTAATTACTTGTAATAAACACCTATCAATCTATGAGCTTTTGTTATCGGAGTTTTTGTAGATATGTACTCTACATATCTTCATTTCTACCTACATGTTAGTCTGTTCATAGGTTTATCCAATGCAGAGCGAATTGACCGAACTTTTTACTATCAGTTTGATGGATTTCTTTGTCTGAATCATTGTTCGTTATTTCTGTTGTCTGTTTGTCTCGGATGCGTTTAGGTAACGTTTGAATAAGCAAAATATCAGTAGATTACTTTTGCATTTGAACCAAAAAAACGTTGCTAAATGATCAGATGTTTGAGTATTTGTGTGATTATTGTTATTGCTGCTTCTATGAGTATTATGATTGCTTTATTGTTATTTTCATTGTTATTATCGTATTTCACACTATCACGGTTGTTGTTGAATGATTGTGCGTCAGTAATGTGGTAATGGTTTCATATTTTTCATTGATAAGAATATCGTTATCGTTTAATAATCAAATAATAACACTGTGCTTGCCACCCGTTTAGATGCTGTTTATTTGTAACGGTTCTTTGTTTGCTTAACAACCATCATAGTTTTTACTGCTCATTTGAAAGCTGTCTGCGTCTCATCAGGTGTTCTTATTTTCTGCTTCCTTATTTATCAGTTCGCTTTGGGAGGACTTTTTAAGTGAAAGATTTCTTTGTCATGAGCGACCACTTGTTTGCTCGACGGCTTTTCGCAACGTATTCTCTTTTGAGTACATGTAAGTTCTTTCAGACGTTTCAAAACAAAGGACATGCTTCATAATAGATTCAGTTTTTAAATGGGGATAGTAGATTCATTGATAGTACATCGTCAAAAGAATGTTATTTGTTGTCTGTGTATATATATTATATTTGTTCATCATTTTTTCTTTAAAAAAATAAATTTGTTCTCACGAAACAGAATCCAAAAATTAAATGTGAAAATGTGAATTTCGGAGCTCGATCAACCTCGGGACATTAAAATCTGTATTAATCTTCTCTGCTGAAATGGAAAGTTCGAGTTCTGGTTGGTATGGAATTCCCATGGGTCGTAGCCACCTATCTTTCGTTTCATTATTCAGTTGTTGTTAATTTTATCTATTTTTTAAGTTCCTTTGAATATATCGTGTGGTGATATACATTCGTAGATATCTACTTATCCAGACTTGTTTACATAATCCCTGTATCTATGCACATATAGATTGGTGCAGTCTAACGTCATATATGGTTTACCTATTTTTTATGCCAACGTTTGGTGGGTTGCTGTAAGAGCCAGTTCGATATCTTCATCAGGTGATGTGTGCGTTTATGCAAAATGGGATTATGATGACAGTGATGCACTTTGCTATTGTCTGAGAGTATTTCTTTAATGCAGTGATTCATGCATACACTCATTCGTTTCATTTCCTCTGTCTGATAGTGGCCGTCATTCATCGATTGATTAAGACACCACCAAAATTAAGCACGAAACAAAATAACTTTAATTGTTGATTGTTTTTCTTGCGAGATAGCGAACAAAGATCTCAGATCTCATGTTAAGGGAGATATTTGTGTCGAGCTACATCTGGAAGACAAATAAGTTAGTTTATACAAGTGATTATCTGTTGCTTGTATCGGTGGAATTTTGCTTACCTATTCGATTGGTTCTCTGACTGTTCTCTTATTTGTTTCTCTCATTTGGGCTTTTCTTACGAACTGTCGATGCTGTTTTTTTTTCTGGGAAAGATGTTCTTTGGCTCAGAGCTGAGGATTAGTGTGCGGATTTTAAGTTGATAGGTCGCTTTTCGGATTACACGTTCATCATGGTCAATAGATTAAACGTAAATTTTGGGATCATGTCAAGGAATATGCAAGTGTTTTTGGGACAGATCATAACTAAATAACTATTAAATGAGTAAGTTGAAATGCTCATTGATGCTCGATGAGCATTTCGTCTACAATAATCAATGAAGAGTATTCATTGCAATTGAAATTCATTCATAAACCCATCCATATGCAATAGGCAGGAGATGTGGTGTTGATGGCTCGTCGAACCATTGATCATAGTTTTTAATCGTGTTCCTTTAAAATTTTCATCAAGTGCTGAAATGTTGATGATGATTGGTATCTGTTTATTTATTTCGACGTTTGTTTATTTGTTGTTTTTTGCTAGACGTTTGATTGCTGGATGCGCAATGATTGCTGCAATTGTATCACATTTATCATAGCGACGTTTGTGTAAAATCGAATCGTTCTGTGTTCCGATGCGTTTCGTTTCGTTTTATTTGTTATCGACGAAGCAAGACAGAGCGCAGATGAAAACGTTTCCTTATTACAGTGTGAACAGCAGCAAGTGAGTAAGAAGACGATCGTTATTGTGTTGTGTAATTGAATTGAATTGAATTGATTGAATGATTGATTGATTGATAAAAGAAGATGAGAATATTCGTCGTATAAATTGCTGTTGGTTGGTGCTGCTAAATGCTGTGTTAATTAGTGTTATTATTAATATTATTGGAAGTGTTATTGTGCCCCATTGCCTCTGTTATTGTTATTGATATTGATTTTGAGGTATTCTTGTTGTTGTTTTTTTCTATTCCACTTGTTGATATCAATAACATCTGACCATATTACTGCCATCCTGTTGTCCAGTCGACTGCCAAACGTCTTTGAACTGCCATTCTATAATTGAATAGGATTAAGATTTTAAAAAAAGGAGAGCAGATGGCCGCACAGGAATTATTCTATCATACGCCAGTGTTCTGCGAAAGTATATTTGATGTAATTTAATTTGTTTCGATCGAGTTTTTCTTTTCTTTGAAATTTTTGCAACTTTTTCTTTAGTAATGAAGAGTTTTCTCATTCTCGTCTCATTTGGTAAGGTGGTTGTGTCTTTATATTTGTTCGCACTGTTTTTGAAGCGAACTTTGAGCAGACTGAAAAAAAACTAAAGTGGGAATATTCTTATCATTGTCATTGAAAATTGATATTAATGTAGATGATAAGATAGGTGGTCTTTTCGAAGTATTATTATGAAGAAGTCGTTTTCTTTCTCCTATCAACCTTATACACCGAGATTGTTTAGGAGACCTTAATAGTATGGTCAGAATCGGATACTTGCGATTTGGCACTTTCCTTCCAAGACAAATCTGGCTGCGAGCATATCTGGGAGAAAATATGTCAAGTTCAAGGACGTGATCCTGAACAGCATCCGGTAAATTTTCATATTTTGGACGATTGGCTGTATGGAGTTAGCCAATCTTTGTTTTTAAATCGAGTTATTCGGGCATGTTTAGAGAGGAATTAGCCTGAGATCGCTTTTTTTGTTTCTTCGGAGTGTTTCTGATTAACAGCACTCGATTGTTGTTGATGCTATTGCTGCTGTTATATCCTACTTCCTTGTATTTAGTTTGAATTCATTTCGACCGAACTCGATCCATCTGGAAGCGATTAACAGTTGAAAAAGCAATGTGTATTTGATAGTGTCTGTCTCCCTTTTCAAAATGTTGTTGAATTCACATCTTTTCAAAATTGTAAACTCTTGTCAAAATGTTTCATTTATTAACAATTATTGTCACTGAAGACAAAACTTCGAAGACGATTTGCTTCGGTTCTGTGATCAGCCTTAACAAAAGTGAAATTTTTAATCCTTTTTTTTCAAGGACTTTACGGGTAATTACGATGATCTGGAGGACAATGATGGACTGGATGCGGGCAATCAGTCAGCCTACAATGCACAACGAGTAAGTTATAGATACTGACAGTTCAAGGGGATAAGGGCAGGAAAAGCATTCAACGGGAAGTTCGTCCGTGACCAGTTTGGGTCACAAGATTGTATCGAAACCGATTGATGTACCTACCATTCGATGTTTAAGTGAGTACGATAAATATGAGTTCACTGGTGTCTTGTAGCCATTGCACTGGATTATACTCGAAATGTTGATGGATGTTATAGAAAGATGGGTGGGGATTGCTAATATTATTGCTTGTAGTTCTTTCAAAGAATTAAATTTGTTGTTCGGTTAGAATTTGTTTATTCAACAAATAAATAACGTTTTTGAATTGGTTATATCTTTTTGAAGTGGATATTTCAGGCAGTGAATGCAGCTGCAGTGACGTTACCTCCATGTGAGCTATCTCGATTGATGGAGTTGGAGATACTGCTCGCAAGTAGTTTCAGTTCAGCACAACTTCGTGAGAAACTTGCGATCGCCATTGAGAATCAAGGGTTCGTTGGGTGGTATTGATGATTCCTAATCGTGAACCTTGATCGTTCCTATTTTCGTCTTTCTGTCAAACCAGTGTTGCACTTGGTTGGATATTTCGATTTGACAAAAGTATTGAGCAGTTGAATTGAATGTGATTAAACGTTCAGGTATGTTGGAAAGTTATGTGATCTATTCCGTATGTGCGAAGATTTGGAGAATATCGAAGCGTTGAGAGTGATGCATCAAATAGCTCGTGATCTATTCATGTTGAATCGGAACAACCTGCTGGAAGTGCTCTTAAGTGAAACTTACTTCAAGTGAGTTTTGTTTTCGTTGATTATTCATTGTCTTAAAGTTGTAACAAAGATAATTATTTTGCTGAAGACCTGTCATTTGAGGTGTTGTTTATAATGGAAGATAGCTTGCAAGTTTAACGTGGAAAAAAATTTATTGTGCATATTGTTGCTAAAAATCAATTTTGATCTGAAACATTCACAAGAAGAATGGCATGGAATGAGCGATTGTGTGTCGACTGAAGTTGAAACAACGAGAAATTGCAGAGATATTGTTGGTATGCTAGAATATGACCCAACTCAAGCACAGCCACGAAAGCATCGAGAATTCTTATTCGAAAAGGCCAGATTCCGAGAAGTGCTCCCGATACGTAGTGATGAATTGAGGCAAAAAATTCATCAAACTTATCGAGTGCAATATGTTCAGGTTTGAACCTGATGCACTTATTTTCACTACCGAATATTATGAGTTATTCTTAGGTTTCTATTGAATCTAATTTTTAAAAACTGGTTCGTTGAACTGGAACGGTTGAATTAGTCATTTCGTTGGTATCATTCATTTGTCATAGTGTGAGGTATATGAAAGTAAGATAAAGTCCATCCAGACATGAGTGGAAAAAGAGTTATCCATTAAAATTTGGTTATCCAAAAATGAGGAAGTGACTTCATCGTTCAGTTTGTTGAGATTCTTTAGATTATGCTAAGCAGTAGTGAAAAAATTGACACCGATATGATGTCAATTTTTGCTAATGAGTAAACACTATGTTCACGAGTATGATCGGGATTTGAAAAAGATGAAAACAAGGAACGTTTTGGGGGAGGACAGGAAAAAGAACCGGTGTTAAGTATTTCTGTGTATTTGTTTAATTTTGTCTTCTTTCTTCTCCTCGCCTCAGTTCTCTCAATAATTTTGTTTTGTGTTTACTAGTTCTGTGCTGTGTTCATTGGTTTTTAATTTTGCTTATTTGAATGCTAGTTTATTAATCCCATTTTCGCGGTAAGGATCAATCATTCGATTGTTGTTTTTTTTGGTTTTTATTCGAGACTTTCTCATCTCTCATCTACGATTCCTCAAGCAGACAATTGAGGCATTGTTTGCATCACTCAATTCTTTTGGGTTCTGTCAATGATGATGATGATGAATGAATTGATGATGGAACTTATTGATTGGTGTTCAACTGAAAACGTCAGCGAACGCATCGTTTGTTTCGATCGCAATTAGTTTGCATTTTTTCAGGACGTTTGTCTGCCAGCACCGTCACTGTTCGAAGAGAATTTATTGTCTGTTCTAAACAGCTACCTCTTTTTCAATCGGGTTGATATCGTGTCAATGTTGCAGGTTCGTATTCCTTCTGCAGTAGTTTTGCTATTGTGACTATGATTTTTGATTCCTTAGAGTCACTGAATAGTGCTGAGATGTGTTTTAGTTTTTATTCACGTTTTCAGCTGTGTATTGAGCGCATAAATAAATGAATGAGTGGTTTCAGGACGATGTGCAACTGATGAGGGAACTCTTCGATCAATTGAAAGATCGTACAATTAGCACTGAACGAAGGAAGGATCTCACGATGTTTCTGAAAGAGTTTTGTTCGTTCTCTACCTCGTTGCAACCGAACGGACCGCAAGGACGTGAAGTCTTCTATAAGGTGGTTTTTGGTATAGTACATATAGAGTGGCATTGGATAGAAACAAATATATTTTTGTTGTTGTATTCATAAAACAGAAACTAGAGATGGAATAGTTTGTAGTGATGATAACGATAGTGATAATAATGTTATTTGACGTTTAATAACGAGCGACGCTAAATGGTTGTCTCATTTGAAATAAGTTTGCCGACAAGTGCGCAGTGCTGAATTTCGCTTTTGCGTCGTCTTCATGATGTGATATTTGCTGTTTCATTTATGAACGTTTATGATGATAGTGGTATGAGTTGTTGATTTGTTGATGCATGAATTCGTATTCTTATGGTGAGAATTATTGTAGTGCTTACAGACTCTAATGCAAAATGATGTATTGGCCACAATAGAGCCGTGCATAATGTCGAAGGATCCGCAGACTATGGCCACAACTGTGGAGATGTTTGTGATGATCGTTGAGTTCAATCCGCAAACGGCTCGTGACTATTTGCTGCAACAGGGACGCAATCTGAGTGATGCTAAAAATGTTTNAGATTAGTTGCACTTTTTTGTGCACATCAACTTTTTGAGAATATAAATGTGCACATCAACAACTTTTTCAAAGTTGTTGATGTGCACATTTATATTCTCTTGAGATTGATTGCATGTTCGCGTTTCATTACATCGATGAGTATAAATGGGTTAGGTTGAAAAGTGGAGCGGAATGCTTTGTGGGACTTGGAAAGTTCAATACAATTATCAATTTTCAATTTCAGGATCAGGTGTTATTGAATAAGCTGATCGAGCGTATGCTCAGCGATACAGATCCGGAGCTGGCATCTGGAATGGCGATGGCGCAGGTGATGCGATCCCTTCTCGATCCGGACAGTATGATCTCAGCACCAAATAGTAAATGTGAACGGCATGAATTTTTGACGTTCTTCTATCGACGTTCCATGCAAACGCTATGCAAACCGATTATCGATAATACGCTTGGTGGAACACCCAAAAGAGGTTTAAAATATCCTTTGTTTGCATGCAATTCGATGGGCAGTCATAATTTGTATCGTGCTGAGAATGCGATCGGGAATTCTGAACGTATGATGGAACTGGAAAATTTATTTGAGTATAACATAAATAAATTTCATGAAATTTTGCTATATTTTGCTTAAATGAAATATGAATTTCAATNTGTGCTAATTGAATGTTTTATCAGACGACGAAAAGAAAGCAAACCCTTCAGATGACTATCATACGGCCAATAAGGAAGCGATGATCGTTGATCTATTGTGCTTCTGTTTCGAGCATCACGCAATGCATATGCGTAACTATTGCATCAATAACAAACTGCTCAATAAAATTGTCGTATTGCTGCAGAGTAAACATCATTTCTTGGCACTTAGTAAGTGGTTGATTGCCTTTTTTCTGATTTGTATAACTCTTCACATTTCGTTCTTTGCATCAAACTTGTTCTGATTTTTGTTCTGTTCACGTTTGGTTCGCTTTTGTTTTTGTATTTCATTCTTTTGACGTATTGGTGGTGTATTTGTGTGTAGTAGTGGAATTTAATATTCGTTTACGATCTAGTGTTTTTCGGATCTTTTTCAGATACGAGTAGTAGTAGTTTTTTGGCTCGTCATTGGGCTGAACATTGAGGGAGTATTATTACTGTTGTGATTGTTGTCGCTTTTAGGTGCGCTACGACTGGTGCGCCGTGTTGTGCAGTTAAAAGATGAATTCTATTTCCGTTATATTGTTCGTGACGACGTGATGGGACCGGTAATTGAATGTTTCAGACGGAATGGGCATCGATACAATCTAATGAATTCGGCCATAATTGAACTGTTCGAGTTCGTTAGAACGGTGAGTAATTGAAATGGTTGTAGGGTTTGTACCGTTGTGGAATTGTTCATCGTAATATGCATAATTGTTTGTATGGATTTTGCGAGTGTTCCCTCGAAATAATTCGCTTTGAATGTGTAGAGTTGCTTGGAAATGAGAAGTGAAAATTTTTGTCATTGGCTGTTCGTATGTTCTTATTTGAGTTTATTTGTGAATAGAGTGAACTTATCTTTTGTGGTTTTCTTTAGGAGGAAATAAAGATGCTGATAACTTATGTGGTCGAGAAGTATGGTGAGCAATTTGAGGATGTTTCATATGTGAAAACATTCACAATGCTTCGTATCAAATATGATCAGGTTGGATTTTTTTTTGTTATCATCACGCCGTTAACGTTTGTTTTTTTCATACTTTTATAGTGTAAATGTTTTGCTTTGAAACGTTCCCAAGGAAGCTTGTTACGTTCGTTACCCAATCGATGTTTCAGATCAAGGACCGTGAGAATGCGAAACTGGGGGATGATAGTCCTACGAAGTCGTCGCCACCGCCCGAATCGCAGACATCGAATGCTCAGTGGAAGAAAGAACGGCAAGCGGACGCTGACGAGCAGTGGTTTAATGACGACGACAGTGAGGTATTGATTGCATAAATAAATTTTCGATTATTATTATTTATCGAATTTGCAATCGGAAATTTTGGAAGCGATTTGCATTTTGATAAACTATGGAGTTATTTCATGAGTATATGATAATTCAGTCATTCACATCTCACGATCAGTAAACGTTGTAAAATTGTAGAATGTTGCACAAGATGGCTGGGACGAAACAACGGGCGCAACAAAGGAACCAGTCCGGAATGGTTCACCAAGAACAGCCAGCAACGGTTCAGCAGATGGATCGCCGCTCGAAGAGGATGAAGCTGAATCACCATCTAATGGCGCTCCGAAGGCGTTCCGTTCAGAGAGCGCTACTTCACCGTCGTCTTCAGCCAAATCCAGTCCCAACATAGTTGGTGACGAAGAGTCGTCTTCGTCATCCGCGTCTTATTCGGATGACCAGTCCCCGCCGCCTCACCCTTCAGAGCCATCATTTTCTCCCGTTGTTCGTAAAAGTGGTACTGAGCCGAATTTTCCGAGCGTGATCAAACGAAAATGTGAGTAGTAATGACTAATTTATTTTTGTAATTGTTATGAGATCGTCACAACAGTCGTGAAGGAATTTTTAGAAGTTGTTCTTCATTTTTTGTTGTCTTATAATTAATGGGGTTTTCATTCACTTGTTTGATGCTTACTGTTTCAGTGGTGGATGAGGACTCAGAGGAGATATTCTCGCAAACTTCTAATCCGTCAAGAATTCGTGGTACTCCTCGCATAGTTATCAAGGTATCTCCGTTGTGAATATCCTTCAATTTCTTTGTATATTCGACAATGATTGCACAAAATGTGATCTTCTAAAGTAGGTGCGTATTCCACGATAGCAGTATTATAAGAACGGTGATAATGTGCCTTGCCGCTGTAGCCAGTGAGCAAATAAATTGACTTATTTACTCGGAATATTTTTATCATCATTGAGGAAATTTTCAGATGAACAGTGACAGAGCACGTTCACCTTGTCGCTCTCCCCCTCCTGGTAGTGGCTCGCCTCCCGGTGACCCGGTCGTCTCATCTACTGAAGTGCTGATTACTCCGTCAAGTTCGAGTCCTCTTGAGCGGCCATCGGCTCCACTGCCGACCCCGCCAATAACCGTCAAAAAGGTTTGTTGTTCATTCGTTCACTCCATCTGAATCATTCGTTTATGAGTGTTTTTCAGTCTAAACGCGTGAGAAGTGTGAGAACAAATTGCGTTAAAGAATGACCACGTTGATTACGCTTACCGCCTTACCATTAAGCGAATACAAAAGTTTTTGCATTGTTTGAAAATATATGAGAAAGAGTTTGACGAAAGAGTGAAAATTTTGTCGTTATTAAGACGAAGTGATAAGCGTCCTCCTTACTCATTGTCAGCAAAATTGATGGGTGTGGGAACTGAGAACGTCGATGGTGTAGGAGTGCGAATGTATTCACCGATTTAAAGGCATTGGTTGATTACGACGAAAGTGATAGCGACGAAGAGGATGAATCTGAAGAGAACAACAGTTTGCCGTCGAGCTCGAGTTCAGCGGGTGCAGGTCGGCAAGTGTCGAATCTGAGCAGTCAGTCGTCGTCGTCGAGTGGTGATGACCATGACGACGTGAGCAGTACGTCTGGTGATCATGAACCGTCACCTGGATGTTTAGTCGAGGAGGGAGACGATACTGAGAAGGATGGTGATAAGAAGGTACGACAGTGCGGAGATGAGAAGCAAAATGAGGTCAGTAGCTTTTGAAAGGGATGGCAGCATTTTTTTCCTGCGTAATCCATTCTTACGCTATGCATTTAATGAGTAACTAACTGTAAGTAAGTATTACTGCTATTTTTACATTTTCTCTCCTTTTAATTTCCAGTTGATAGACGCTAGCCAGTAGACGATATGCAGCAGAATTGCACTTTTTTATATCGTTAATTTTTATGAACAAACATGGGCTAACCACAGTTTACGAGCTTTTTTCGCCGTTTTCCGGCATTTCATATTTTTTGTATTTTTGTCAGTGATGTCACCGTGGGTAATGTTTTTTTCAATAATTTCAAGTTGGATGAAGTTGAAAAGAGAAGCAGTACCGAGTCGTCGTTAGATGAGAATAATTTATGTCGTAAACGGGCTGCCGAATGTGAAATGTTGATAAAAGATGAGCCAAAAGCGCTTGAGAGTGGTGCTGAAGGCACTAAAGTTGAACGTCACACTGATGGCACCAAGCGACTTAGGTTTGTATGTATCTTGATTGTCACTGTTATTCATACGATTGTCATTATTGCGGTTTCATTTTCTTGATTATTCATATGATTGTCATTATTGCTTATTGTCATTGCGATCTGTTTGGTTTTCTTTTTCGAATTCAGTTTCGCAACTTTAACTTTGAGTTGAACACTTTCATCGAAAGTTTCTCTGTTTGTGATGATAATGCATGTCTTCTTGTTGATTTATCTTATTTGTGGTTTGAATTCTGATGGCTGTTTTGATTTCAGGTTAGATTCTGGTGAGGAGCACGGTGAAAAAACCGAAAATTTGGTACCTACGGCGGGTCTTGTTAGCTAAGTCCATTTACCGGCCAAATTGCGGCAGGCCCGTCGGTTCATCATCTCAATTAGAAAGTTGTCATTTTCCTTTGAATAGATAACACTCACTGTGTAATTTTGACGTCCTTTAAGCCTGGCATGGGTGTTTGTTATGGTCGTTATCATTATGATTGCTGTCGTTTGTGTTTTATCCTGATAATTTGTCGTAATGATTACATTTTAACTGAGATTGTTCTGTTATCATTATAACTCATTGATTTCGTTGTTCTTATCATCGATTGTACACTCTTGATTATTATTGTTGTCATTCGTTTATTAATTATCCTCATTACTATTGCTATAATTCCCTTGTTCTCAACCTACTTACATTCAACAGCTCCTCTTTTTTTTGCAATTTATCATTTTAAACGAACCTTTACAGGGTCACGGAAACTTATCACAAACAGTCCTTTTGGATATTCAGGGGAACTGCAGTATAGAGAAGTTGATGAGCAGAATTGACGAAGAAAACTGGTGATGAGGTGTTGGTTGTTTGTATGATTTGATGTGCATATTATAATGAATGTTCAAGTTTATTTGTTCGTATGACCTTGATAATGAATGTTCAAGCGTGTTTGATTTGTGGAAATAATAATGATAATGTTCATAGTAATGATCTCTAGGTGTGTTGTTATGTACGGTGGATGGTTTGGAGAAAATTGAGCAATCTCTGTTCATTCTTCGGGGAACCTTCAGTTCGTGTGATAGATTGAAATTATTGCGCGTAAGCATGAGGACAGTCCGTATATTATAATTGGTCGACAAGCTGGAAGGTTCAGTTCGTGTAGTGGCTATGTTGTGAGCATGGGTCCTTGAAATGAGCGAATGTGTATCGTATGCGTCGTGTTCAACTGGAAAGGAGAATAAGCGTTTTATTTGTTGATGAAAAATGTGATTTTTTGTGGATATAATAATAGTACATTAAGGATTGTGTGAGTTTTCTGGATGAAAGCTCGTCCCCTGTTAAACTTCCATTGTAACGTTGAAGTTTTTGTGGATGTTGATCAGCTAAATGATGCTTAAGTGGGTGAACTTTATCTCATTATATGGAGCTTGCTTGATTGCAAACTCAAGCTCACTATCGATCAGTCAGTTACGAAGATCTTTTTGATTGGCATTTACAAATACGATATCCCTTTCATACTTTATCTTTTGTTGCTGTTTATTTCGCCTCTGTGTGTGTGTTTCGATCTTATACTCATCATATGAACGATGTATGGGATCAAAAATGGTTAGATGAGATCAGATCGTTAATAGATAATACTTTATTGATCGATTGAAATAGCAGATTATATCATATTGATGTTATGTTTTGGTTTTATACTACTGCAAAATAGTGATGTTCTTGAATTGATTTCCTTCATGATTTTCGTTTTATTGTGTTACATTTCATTTTTCTAACTCGTTCGTTTCATTTCTCTTCTCGTTGCTCTATGTGTATGTTCTGATTGCATGCTAGAAATGTGAATAAATATGAATTGATATTATCATCAGCGAGGAAAGTTTTTTTGGAAATTTTGATTTGAATTTCACGAGAACATTCATAAGGAACGGAGTTATGGAAAATGCTTTCTTCTATCTCATTGATTGGAATTAATGAAAGAAGTTTTAGTTTGAATGAACAGATTCCTTTCATTGAATCGGTTAATGCGAGGGAGAGGGCAAGCAACAATGCAATTATTGCTGCTCACCGAACCTAGAAACAATGGAAAAAACGTCCATTAAGAGAAGGTACGGAAGAGAATTTTCTGTAAAGTGAGGAGAGATTTTCAACAAATTCGTTCAGACTGATGTTGTTGAATAAACCAGAAAATACGTTGACACAAAATTGGTTTGACTAGTTGAGAATTTAGGAGCTGTAGTGTTATTTTTTGAATGAAACATACGGTACAAAATGCCAGGGGATTTCTGGTTTTATGGACTGATCGATCATATTGTTTGCAACTGTAATTGAGATTGTTCGTGTTCTGTTTTGCCACTTGATATTTGAATTTGTTCTTGAGAAATGTGTTTGAATTGAAAGCGCCGTTGTTCGTTTGTTTAATAAATTGTGTGCATTTGAATTGGATGATTCTTGTTTTAAGCGTCGTTCATTGTTGTTTATTCGATTATTTTCGTTTGTTGTTTAGTGTTTAATTCGTTCGATTACTGCAAACTTTTTTGATTCATTGTTCGTTGGCGCTTCGTTTCATTCATTTTGTTCATTTATAAAGTAGAGTTGTTGTTGTTGTGACTGTTTAGTAGCACAACTTTGACTACTCATTATTGGATCAGTTTAGTGATGATTTTTATCTGCATTTTTCAGTTGAAATTCGTCTTGATCATTGATTTGCTGTCGTTGATGTTATCATGTTGCAACGATACTTCAACCTCAATTATGTTTTTATTTTATTTTGGCTCCTTAA